AAAAAAAAAAAAAAAAAAAGATTTTGCAGCACACTGACAAACTGAGTCAGAAACTAGCTTCAGAATCCTAAGTTGACAAGTGTAGAGGGTCATAAAATAGCGATGCTTACCGTTCAAACACTCGAAAGCTTGCGCAGTGATGATAACTTTAACTTATTTTGGCAAAAAGTGGAAAAACAACTGAAGTCGATGAACCAAAGTTGGCAAGAAAGAGAAAAGCCCCGAAAAGATTTGAACAAGGAGACGCAGAAGCAGAGTTTCCATCTTTGCCCAAAGATGAACACCGTCGTGTATATTTAGAAGCACCTTGCTGTGACGAGGTATCCGTACACGATTCAATCAGAAAGGCTTCAAGACATTCGCTAATTTGGAGCAGCTTCTTTGAAAAGCCTGTCAAGGACAGTGCTTCAAAGAAGAACTGGACAACGTTCGTACGTTTTTTCATGATGATTTTGACAAGAAAGCCTTAGAAATGGCCGACTGTTTTGTTTCGTTTGCCTCAATGGGCGAGGATCAGCGAGCTCTGTCAGGCAGAAAGTTTAGTGACAACCTCTTGGTACCTGGGATGGTTTGTCTTTTAAGTGTACTCAAGTACATGGTGTCTCCTTCCGTAAGGATCTGATCGACTTCGGTGGCGGCAGTTCAGTGTTCGAACGGGTAAAGTCTGAGCACGTAGCAGCGCAGAAAAACTCATAAAAGAACATTGTCTTTCCCGTGAAATGTCATTAAATCGTTCATGACCTTGATGAATGCTTCCAGCAATAAATAAATTTGTGTTTGACATCATTAGAGTACGAAATTATTTTATCTTTAACAAGCGGACCTGGGTAAACAGCAAATCGAGCAACGTGCTTTCAACATCACACAAGTTCATGATAAAACCCGCTGAACAAACATACTGCATACTCCGAAAATCATCTCAACAACAAAAAATCGTTAGAAAGACGAAAATATACTTTTAAAATAAATAAATCTTTAAGAAACGAACCTCGGTAAACAACAAATCGACCAACGTGCTTTCAACGTGACACAAATTCATGATAAAACCCGCTGAACAAACATACTG